GCATAATTTACAACGTGATACTAATGTTTCTCAAAATCAAATTGGATTCATGCCAGGTAGGTCTACTATGGAAGCTATATATTTATTGAGAGGTTTGATGGAGAAGTATAGAGAGAAAAAAGAGGATCTACATTTGATATTTATTGATTTAGAGAAAGCATGTAAGAAAGTTTGCCCTTGAGTGCTCTAGAAAAGAAATAACTTAATAAAGTTTATATTCAAGTCACTAAAGATATATGTAACAACCTAATAATTATGAAAATTATTTAATAATGAAAAATTGAAATTTTTAATCAGCGTGCCGCAATGTTGGTCTGTCGATGCTCTGGAGCCTTAGTCTTAGAAAAATTTAAAAATAATTCGGTGTGGCGGCGCTGAGATTTTGAACATGACGACGCCATGAACCGGCATGTGATGCTAAGATGTTTAAGTGCTAGGCCAAAAACGGTGCTTTATATATATTAAATCCTAAACCTAAGCATTAAGCCATCTACCCCTCCCCATTTGTGGCTTGCCATGAAAGAAGAGAGGGATGGGGAGAGGAAGAGAGAAAAAGCTAGGTTTTTGTTATTTTGTCCATTGATTTAGTTGGAAAAAGTCTTCTAATCATAGTACGTAACTTAAAACATACTTTTATTTTCAATAATTTCATATCAACTAATTTAATTTCCCCAAAAAGGATAAAAATGCATTTTTCCTAATTTACCACACTTTTATTATGCAACTTTTTTGTATATAACAAATATGATTGATATGGATATTTTGACTATAATATTATTGAATTTTACCGAGTAAAATAAAAATTATGATTTTCTTAAGTTATTAGCTAGTGTACATCTTTTATTGTATTTATAGATTCCTGCATTTCATGTTGCATTTCATATATTAAAGAAATATTAATACAATTAATTCAAGATAAAGGTGGCATTTGCATGTGAGTAAGGGAGGCTGATTATTAATGTTATAATTAATATGTGTTGGCTTTTAAAACATAATATCTTGCACAGGAGGGTGGGTCGACGAGTTTTCCTTAAAATAAAAAGTTTGTGGTGTAATCCTAATTGTAGCATATAATCAATTGACCGAATTATGCTGAAAGGTAGAGAGTGACAACTCTTTATAAATTATTGAACGCCAAATGTAATGATAATTTGTTTACTGAATAAATGATAAGCGTGATGGATATGACCGATGACCAACTGAGAAATAATTGATATTAAAGATTCTGAAAACGCCACATTAAATTTAGATGACCTGCTTTGCTTAGCTATATGGTATTGATAACATATAACTAATTCATGCATTTCTTATTTATGATCATGCATATACAGTTTCATGATTTTATAGATTATAAACGACTATATCAAGCATATGTAAGCATTATTGATACATAACATATGGATATAACTCCTATACATTCATGATTCACCTCACCGATAGATTAATAATATTGAATGATTGCAGTACCAATGTGTTTTTCTCTAAAATCTTGATTTATTGATTAATGATGCATTTATGTTCTCGCGCCTATTATTGATTTATGGATTTCAACGCAATAATTCTAGGTTTTCGTTACTGATTGTATTGATTTGTCTTATTGATAACTAATCATTAATGATATTGAATGTGTCATTGATTATATTGATTGAGATGATCATGTATATTGATTTATGAATCTTATATTAAAACTTTGGTGAGTTTTAGATTTTTACTAGGCATTGTAAGCTCATTATATAACCTAATTGATTTCAGGTCAGGGAAGGAATCAAGACAGTATGGATTGAGGTTGATTGAGATATTAAGATTTCTCGTTTTGTTAGTTTTATATTTTATTTATTCTTTTTGTAATCAGGAGCTTGAGATAGATTATTAAATGTAATGATCTTTTGGATATTGTAAATATGATTTTGAGAAATGAATATAGATTTATATTTTGAAGTACATTATATAGATTTATTTTTGCTAGATATTGATTTATATTGATGATTCATAGAAGCTCTAGTTGATAATTTAAATGATAAAATAAGTAATTATTTAAATTTAGATTTTGGGGCGTGACAATACGTATAAAAGATCTGTTACTTTTATTCAAACACAAGATAGTTTGACCAAATATTTTCCTACTTTGATTGGATTATATCAAGGATCGACATCTTTTTGCTTTAGTAATAGATGTTCTTACAAGACATTTACAAGAGGATGTGCCCTAGTGTATGCTTTTTGCTGATGGCATTCTACTTGTTGATAAATCTAGAGAGGCAGTTGAAGAAAAACTTGAATTATGAAGGTCAACTTTAGAGTCTAAAGGTTTTCATTTAAGTAGATCTAAAATCGAATACATGGAGTTTAATTTTAGTAGTAATAGATCTAGTGGGGGATTGTGATTTTGGGCAATCAAACCATTAATAAGAGTACACATTTTAGATATCTTAGATTTATTGTTCAAAGCTATGATGCACCGACACTTCTCCTCAAAGAGGCACGCAGTGTCTGACACGTATCCGACACAACATTTGTCCGAAACTCCTCCGACACGTGTCGGACATGTCGAAAACATGTCTGATTAAAAAAAAATATTAAATACAAATTGGACACGCATGTCCGACACACGTATCTTAAATATTTTATGAATTTTTTTAAATATAATTTCTTGTATTTGACGGGATTTAAACTAAATTTTTTATTTCCTATCCATAACACCAAATCAACGTCCGCACTTAATACCCATTCATCGAATGTTCTCATTTTTATTTCTTTTTGGCAATGAAGGATTTTTCATCTCCTCTCTCGGTGACTGATAAATGGCATCCTAATACTAATCATTTTAAGCACAAATTCTAATTAAATGACTTATTATTTCTAAATTATTTTTAAAATTATATTTATTTAATTTTTATACACTATTTTTAAAATATAAAAACTATAATACCGTGTCCAACCCATCTCCGTGTCCTAAATTTTAAAAAATTGACGTGTCCCGTGTCCGTGTCGTGTCGTATCCGTGCCGCCGTGTCCGTGTCTGTGCATCATAGGTTCAAAGTGATGGTGAAATAGACGGGGATATTATTAGTAGAATTCAAGTTGGATGGTTGGAGTGAAGAAATTGTACCGGGCCTAGTGTGTGATAGAAAAGTATCCCTCAAACTTAAGGAAAATTCTATAAGATGGTGGTGACACCTGCAATGTTTTATAGCATAAAGTTGGTCATTAAAAGAGAAGCATAAAATTAAGTTAAGTGTTGCAAAGTTAAGGATGCTCAAGTGGATGAGTGACTTCACTTTTAGAGACAGAAGGCGAAACAAGTATATACGTCAAAAGGTTAGAGTAGCTCCAGACCTCCAGTGTTGGATAAGATTAGAGAGAGTCATCTTTGATGTTTTGGACATATAAAACATCGGCCTTCTAAAGACCCAATGAGGAGAGTAGACGTATTGGATTTGGCCTATGTTAAGAAAGGTAGAAGCATACCTAAAAAGACTTGGCTATAAAATATTATAAATGATCATGTTTTATTAAATTTAAATGAGAATTTTACTCATAACAGGACACAATAGAGAAAAAAAATTCATATAGCTAACCCCATGTAGTGGTATAAAAGCTTGATGATATTGTTGTTGTTGTTGTGCCATCATTACATGGCTTGGAAATGCACACCAAATGATATAAAATGCACTCATTAGATTTTTAAATCAAGATTAGAAAGAAAGAAAAATAGTAGGTATAAGATAATATGCATATAAGTAGTTTAAAAAATTTGACAGAACAAGCTTAATAGGAAAGAATGAAAAATGAGAATTTATAAAGTTAGCCACAAATAGTTGGGATAAGGCAAAAAAGAATGTTGGCCATTACAAGTAGAGTTTCAATCAAAAGAAAACAGATCCATTCAATCTTTAACAATGTATGTTGATGATGAAAATAAGAGTTTCAATCCAAAGAAAACAGATCCATTCAATCTTTAACAATGTGCAATCAGAACTAAAACCTCAAGATTGAGAAAGAAACCCAAAATTGACGGAAATTTCATCCAATTAGCAGGAGCACAAGTGGGATTTCCATCAGAAAAAGAGAATAACTATTAACATTCAATCTCCATAGAAGAACCAAACACCATGAATGAACGCCAAATATCAACTCTTCCCCAAATTTAAGTCCCGATGCATATCTCAACAGCATGCAACCAAAGGTCGAACCCCAAGATTCAGCAGCAAAACCGAAAAATCGAAGACAAATTATACACAAATAGCAGGAACACGAGTAGACTTTCAGGTAGAAGAATAAATAACTCTAATAAATCAAACTCCCAATTGATTCAAAGAACTCTGAATTTCACCTAGTTCCCAAATCTCTCACTTTCTGAAATGCATCCCAACAACGTGCAATCAGAACTCCGGCCACAAGATTCCAAAAAAAAAAAAAAACTTGAAGGAAAAATTCTTCCAATTAGCAGGAACATAAGTGCAGTTTCAGCCAGAAGAATAAAACAACTCTACTTTTTTAATCTCCAAATAATTACTATTCATCACCCCGAATGAGCCCCAAGTTCAACTTCTTACCAAATCTCTCACTTTCCAAAATACATCTCCCAACATGCAATCAGAAATCGAACTTCTAGATTCAGAAGAAAAACCTAAAATTGAAGGAAAATTCCTCCAATTAGCAGGAACACAAGTGACAGACGAGTCAGAATAGTAAAACAGCTCTATTCAATCTCCATAAAGTAGCAAGTGAATCCCAAATTATCATATCTCAAATTAGAAATTGAAAGAAAAATTCTCTGACGAGCAGGAACACAAGAAAATATTCAGTTGGAAGAAAAACTAATTGCCCTCCCAGTACGCAAAACAGCACAAAGTAAGCAACTATCGCAAGAATCTATAAGATTTCCCAATGGAATCAATCTGTAATGCCCCCCGCGACAAATAAAAGCGGGGAGAAAACAAGATACACAAATAAACAAAGCAAAGCAGGAAGAAAGTCCATGAAGGCGAGAAGGAAACCTGGTCTGAAATTTAGAACATGGCCTGGAGAGAGGGCAATCTGACCGGAGATTGCCGTCGCCATTCACTTCCCAACTTTGTTCGCAGAAACAAGAATGAAAAACTAGAGGCGAAGAATAGGAATGGCTGCGCAACGAAAAATAAAAATAAAAATAAAATCGAAATGAGATGAAAGACATAAAATTGAAGGGTCAAAGAAGAGAATATCCGTGTTGCTCAGTAGCTTGGCTTCGTGTGGCACGTGGTTCACCGTGTGGCCGTGGTTGAGATCCATGAGTCCATTCAATGGTACAGATTGCCCGAGCCAGCAAATAGATGGCTTGATTGCAAGGACAAGATGACAGATTTTAGAATTGTACTTTTTTTTTTTAACATTGGCTATTTGGCTGCTTCCAACCCAACATTCAAGTTTTGTTTAGAGCAATTTTTTCACTATTTTATTTTTTAAATTGTAATTATAATTTTTATTTCATTATTATTTTCAATAATTTTTTATGCTAAGACTTTCAAAAAAAAAATTTAGTTTTCCAATCACTTTTATAAAATACACCAATCATTTCAAATATATCCTTATTTTCATCTCTTATGACTTTATTAGAGGCAATTTACAATTGACAAGGGACAGAAAATCATTTTGGATAGAGTGAACACTTATAAGAGAAACAATAAAGAATTAATTGATATAAAAAAAAATGAGGTATAATTTTTAAGGGCAAATTTTTGAACTAAGCAACATTAATAATTAAACTATAAGATTAAGCATGATCGTTAAAAAATTTAATTATAGGCAAAGTCGGTCGTTTAAAAGGCGACTTAGGTGCGACCAAACGACAGCGTGGCAGCTGATGTGGCGAATTCAGATTTAAGTATAAGTTGCCCGAGTAACGGGCGACTTATAAGTCGCCCAGTAAAGGGGCGACTTAGACTTAAGTAATTTATTCACCTTTCCCTTTCCCGATCAGACATTCTCCCTCTTCGCCATTTCGAGATCTGCTTGCTGCTCCGCCCGTTCGTCGCCGGATCAGGTAATGTGAAGTTATTTTATGCATTTTTTATGTTAAATTAGTTAGATTTATGTTGATTAATACATATCTATCTTCAAAATAGTAAGTTGAGCTTATGGCTAAATTATATACATATCAATCTTCAAATCAACCTTCATAAAATGATATATTTGACACCAACATTCGGCATAAAACTTTACGTATTTGACACCAAAATTCACTACAAAACTTTACTATTTTAATCAAACAACATGTGTTTTGTGTTTTTTACTGTAGCATAATAATTTGTAGAATTGATGTATACTCCTGCTATTATTAATTATTATTTTGTTCTCAGGTTAAATGGCATCAGACCAACGACGTCGCAGAAAGAAAAGGACAACTGGTGAGCCTTCCGGAGAGGGTACTAGTGAAGCACCCCCTCCAACTCAGATCCATCCTAACATAGCTTCATTGCTTGGTACACATAGAGCTGCACATCCTGATGGGGTAATTCCAATTTTTTACTAAGTTAATAAGATTATGCAAAATATTAAAGCTAAATCTAAGTTATTATATGTCTTTGTAGGGAACAATTTTGGAAGCAGCATCGCATCTTCTAATGGTGCATGATTGGCCGGTGAATTGCCCAAGGTTTATGGAAGCTTTAAGATTGGTTGGGCTAGATTGTGTTAGCAGATGAGATATTACGTTCGATGGACACATTTTGCTGACAGACTTAGTGGAGAGGTGGTCCTCCCCAGACTAAATATTTTCACCTGCCCGTTGGCGA